AGGGGGAGAAGGGGGGAGCCCTGGCAGCGTCTGCATCCTCAGACCGACTCGCGTGTCAATCAATAGCTCCTGCAGCGGCCGGCTTTGCAGAGGGAGCCAGCTCCAAACTTGCAGGAACCTCTTTGGCTCGCTGCCATCTGCCACTTAGCAGACAACTGGTGGAGCATCAGAAGAGTGGCGCGGTGCAGCTGAGGTAGAGTCGCTTTCACAGGGAAAGCTACAACTCAGGGGCACACATTTGCTTCGGCAGCTGTCCCATTGCTCGGACTAGTTTGGGAAGCCAGTAGGTGCTTAAGTCACATGAAATGAGGAGCACATACGACATGCAACATGCTTCAGATATGTACTCTGACGGCATACATGCCGAGAAGGTGGAGATTTGGACCGTTTAAGGGGCGGGGCCGGAAAAAACAAATCAAAAAAGGACACCAGATACAGGCGGTGGGGCACCTCGGGGGGACGGCGTCATGTTGCTGCGGTTATATTTAGTGTTTTCTCCACTATTCTGCAAAGGCATCCAAGAAACCCCCCAGTAAAGATGCTTAAGGGGAAACTAAGGAGGGGCATCATCATGTTTTATCTTGGTCGGGAGCATATAGTTTCATCTACAATGGAGGAACCCCCACCTAATTAAGAATTTGGGCAGAACTGCAATTTGGGAGCAAACAGTGGAGCTTGAAAACGATGCCATTCAGTACGGGTGACTGGATTCATTGAATGACTAAGCTCTGTTATGAAACCAACCAAAACAACGAGTAACACGTGATGTCTACATATTCTCTTCTGCGATGTCTGATATCAGACAGAACGGTGAACTCTGTTTCCATCGTGACTTAATCAATTTCCCTCGAGGCGCTTCAATGTTTTCCATGATCCAGCAACCGACCAGTCCACCTGAAGCAAAGTCGTGACCAAATACTTTGTGCTGGTGTTGGATTGACATTGTGCAACAGGGGGTCATATCACATTAAAAACTTTTATTCAAAAGCCCCAGAGAAGGAGAGGCCATTGAGTGAAACACCAGTCATCAGAATGTGACAGCTGGTGTGAAAGAGGGCTGGGACTGGTCTCCGGGTGCTTCGCACGACCCTGCGGTTGCTTTGGGAACAGCCCTGAAGGTTGGGACTGGATGAACGACTCGCTTCGGCGGATTCAGGGCACTTGTACCTCCGTGGTAGCCATGGAGGGTTCTTATAAACAACCGCTGTGTTTGAACATAAACTGATTTACAGGTGTGCCTCGTGCCAGGAAACCTACGGGTTTACTCAGTGACACTCAGGTCATCTGATTCAGTTGTCAGAAGCTCCTCGGGCCCAACAAACTCTTGGAGCTGCTGGGTGGCATTGGCGAGCACTTTGGGCGGGCCGTCGGACCCCTCGTGAAGACGTTTTTTTCCTCGGGACTTTGCTGCGGAGAGGGAAGGGTGTCCTGTTGGGGGACACATGGCTGCCCCGTTTGCGGTGATAAGGACCAGAGGTGGGGGCACCTGGCCAGGATGCTTGCTGGACACGTCGGACTGGGAGGGGTTACAAATTCCCCTTTTGAGCCTTTGTAGCTTCAGGATCTCCCAGAGGAGCTACAGGGAATGGAGAAGGACGAGGAAATGGGAAAAGGTAACACTTGAAGCATACATGTTATAAGACATACATGTTAGAAGACAGTAAAAGCACTGAAGGGAAACGTAAAATGTTTTTGTCACATGCTTTTGGCATATTGTAAGTCGTATACGTTGTTCATTCTGCACACATCTGTGAGGGATCTCACCTCTTTTCCTACTTTTTCTCACCTTGTGCATTGCAGTCGAGCTCCTGAAGCCTACAATTATTATTTAGTGGGTGGGACGCAGGTAGAATGAGGCTAAATGACCATCCTCCTCCTGCCACACATAAGCTACTCTAGGTGCACTTTAACAGATGGTTCGGTGTCTCATTAAGTCAGTGGGAAACTTTAACAGGAAAAACTCCAGTGAGAAGGGCCTCATACGTCATTCGTCCTCCGGAGGCTGCAGGGCGCTGGAAGACGATGTAACGGACGGTGCGGATCACGTTTGTCTCAGGAGCGTGCACACGTTTACATCGGGAACGTCTGCTTGCAGATGTTCAACCTAAATCGGGCTGAGAATAATATTGTGCGGACAAAAATCACATGGAAAAGTATAATTGTACAGTGTTGTAAATCCTTTATTAAACTAGTAAAGACATAAATAATGCAAGAAGATACAGAAATCGAAGTAAAAAAGGAACAGAATTCAGTTTAAGAGCAGACAAACAGAGCCGCATAAAAAGAGACACAAAGGATGGATTTCACAGTTTGAACGACATTAAAGCAAGTGGGATGTTACCGGAAGAACAGTTTGACAGTTTGAAAAGAATCTCATGTGTCCTGTGAGCTGTACTAATTTCTACAAAGATGGAGGTTCAGAAACAACAAACAAACAGTCCCCACAGCATTGCTCGCTCATCTGCAAAATGCTTCCAACCGTGTGGACACTTCAATTATTCTGATCCATTTCATGGCCCGGTAGGTATCTGGATACAGAGGAGCGATTCCACAAGGAAAGTGTCGTCCCATCAGATTGGTGCGAAGCTGCTCGGAGGCTTCTTCTTGCACTGGTGCAGTCATGTTCCACACACAGGTCCACAAGGAAGACAAAGTAAACCTGCTTCAAGAACTCGTATTTCAAGAAGTTTTTTCAATTTGTTTAGAATTAACAGACCCCAAATATAAATGTACAAAGAAAACCGCAAAGAAAGAAGAGAAACAAGAAAAGAAATCACAGCTTGTAGACACAAACTTCCACAGCAGAAAGCCCCAAAAACCCCAAATGAAATTGCTGGCCGCCGTCAACGACAAACAATCCCAGTAATGATGTCAACTCAGAGCCCCAAAAGGACTTCAGGAGTTTCTCAAACCTCGCGGAACCAAAGTGGTCTCCCTTTTAGTGCAAGACGGCTGATTAGTCTCTGGCCAACACTTCCTCTTCAGCACTATAACAAATAGACAGAGCACTGCACAGCTCCGACGTCACTCGCGTCCGCCTCGCACACATCTGAGACAACGTGTTGCAGCCTCTGAACATCACTAATATAGTGATGACGGCCCCCCCCCCAAAAACACGCACAACAGACCTCATAATGTGTGTGTGGCACCGTACCTCGTCTTATCCACAGTGACGCTATTCTGTAGGTTAAACATTAGCTGAAGATTTGCAGACATTGTGATCGTAAACACAGACAGATTATTACAGGTTAGTAGCGTCTGCGAGCGACTCGTCATTCAGCCGAAGAGAAGCAAAGGCACTTGACAACTCAAGAGTCCTGCTTCTGATGCAAAGCAGCTAAACTCAGAGTCCACGTGCATGGTACTCTGATGCAAACCCTCCCGTCACTCCTGACTTGTCAATGCTGTTTGGGACATTTAAATTCCACTTCCTGTAGGAGGCGGCGGCATCGAGGCCAAAACAAAGCGCGGAGCTCGTCTCACATCAGATCAAATGCACTCTGGTTTGTCGGCATTGCTTTTTCTTATTTAATAAAAACACATTTCCTTCCTCAGCTCGGCACCTGCTCCTATGACACCTCGGGAGGGAAGTCGGTGATCTTAGCCCGGGGCGAGACGCTGTATCACGGTAGACAGTTCATCAAGCCGAGTGACAAGTGTTGGGGCGTGATTCTTACAGTTCCCTTTTCTTTTTGCCTCGGGGATGAAAAGTTGCACACTGGTTTCTCATTTTTTTTCCTTCTCCAAGGGTAATTGATGAAAGAATGGCCAGGTCAATATCAGGAGGCGCCTCTGAAGTCATCCACAGTCCCTCATAACTCATTAAAACTTTGCCCCGCTGCAATAAAACGGCGTGGTCCGGATTTATGAAACAAAGTACGTGAATAAACAACATGTCACAGAAGCAGTTGTGGTTTTGACGTACTGGAGACTTGCATCGACAGGTACTGCTGCTTTTTGCCATGTCCTTATTTGACTTTCGAAATAGAGGCCAAGCGACACTATGTAGTACCAGAGCAGCAACACACCGCCAGCTCTCTTTGGCTCCACACGCTTGGTTTGGACGACAGCCCAGCGTGCAAGCTTTACTTTGGTGAGCGAAGTCTGCGGTGAGTTGTATGACCTCTACGTCCACGTTGTGATGCATTGACAAAAAGATGCCTGCTCCATATGAGGGAACGTAAAGCAGGGAATTATGCAGACCGTTGTCTAACCACAATGAGTTGTGTCGTCCTATCGTGTAAAAAATGTATTTTCTATTGAGCAGTGTGGGGAAAAGAAAAAAACGGAATGTGTTCACATATTCTGTAAAGTTAGATGAACAGTAGATGATTACAAATGTATTCATGGCCGTGGTTTAACACTGGCCAGTTTTATGGAATACAATGGTTGACAATGTTTTCCTACAAACAATGTTATGTAACATAACTGCAGCCAGATTATTATTGAGGTACATCCAGATAAACACTTTCAGTGTAGAAACAAGCAAAGGAACAGTGTGTCTGGTGCTGCTGATGGGCTCCAGACGTCTAGCTGACATTACGCTGCATAAGGGTGCTGGAATGAAGTAATGCTCGCAAAGACACTGAAGTTGCTACTGAATAAAATAGATCGCGGTTAGAGCTGGAGAAAATGACAAGGGGCTACTATCTACTTGATCTTCACTTTTAATATCAACTATGCACCCGTAAAGTGTTCAGACTTGCACGTTCAAGTCCACTGACTCAGAAACTCCTGGAAGAGCAAACGTCTTCCTTGGGAGTGTCTCCAGGACCACATCCAACCACGATGACAAACACAGACACACACACACACACACACACACGCACACGCACGCACACGCACACGCACACACGCTAGGTGGAAACAACAGCTTCAACATGCCGTTGCGGCTGGTGAGAATATTACATCATAAGGAAAAAGGACAAAACAAAACAACAAAACAGATTTTTCACCACCACAATAAAAAGTCTTGGAAGGGAACCCCCCCCCCCCCCCCCCCCCCCGTTTTAACCCCCTTGAACACACTCAGGATCTGGCAGACGCCACTGACATTCAGTGTTGGATGCTGCGATTTTGACGGTGCGATTTTAGTCTTACTTCATCATTTTATAGATGAGATGTTGATGTTATTAAACATGGCTCCTTGTGGACACCTGATGTTCTCCCAAAAAGTAGACATCTGCACAGCGGTCCCTAAGGCATTGTGCCGTATGTATACGTAGATAAACATTGTTTTCTGTCGTGTATTCAATCCTTGGAAAGAATTACATATTTAAATAGACTGTGCATTCTCACGGTATTTGCTGCAAACCAAACCTACGGCAGGCGAAGGAGGGGAGCCTCCGTCGAGCCTTCGACGCAGCGAGGGAAAGCATGTGGCCGTGCATCAGTCTCACACACAGTACTGAGGCACAACGGAGTCCCTTTGACTCCCCCTCAGGGAGGCTCAGCGTCTGTGTGGCCCCCCCTTCTCCTCCCCTTCCCCCTTACGACTTACTGGACCCGGGGCTCTGCTCCATGGTGATGAAGAAGAGACAGACTCCCGCGGTTAGCAGCAGGTGCATGGACTCGTACAGCAGTTTGGGAGAAAAGACGCTCCATATGAAGAGATGGTAGCGCAGCGCCGTCACCAGCACAATGTAGGCGGCAGCCGGCACCGAGCGCAGCAGGGCCAAGCAGTAGCAGCCATGGCCGACCGCAACCGGGCTCCTGCTGAGAGGGGACGAGAGCACGGCGTTTTGTAATGTAGCCAGGAGAAGGACCCCAGTCATCTTCTCACAGTAATACAGACTGCTGGCATCTTATCATGTAGAAGCTCAACTTTAAAAACCTGCACAGTGGGAGGAAGGAAGGGAAGCAGTGAGCGCACACACACACACACACACACACACACACACACACACACACACACACACACACACACACAAAGACCTCTTTTCTGACGCTGTGAAAGACGAGCACAAGTAAAAACAGGCAGAGGACCAGCTGGGGGGGAGGAACTTCTAACCGTCTCCCAAGACAAGGGCGGTAGGAGACGAGGGAAGATGACCAGTTTATGCGCACGCGCGCACACACACACAGATTCTTAATACACAGGATAACAGCCTCATCAGTCAAAAACTAGTCAATAACATTTGATCACCAACTTGCACAATGACATGTGTTCTTTTGGTTTGGGGTCACATATCAGCCATCATTGGGCCGAGTGAGTCAGACTGCGGTCAGTCATACTTTGGGGGACAAATTCAATAAAAAAGGGACAAAGAAATACAATTGCTTGGAATTGGTCTAAGCCCCAAACACACTGGATCCTACAACTCCGAAATGCAACTGAATGTGGTCTTTGGTGTTCTGAATTAAACAATTTGCGAAAGATGAAGTTGATTAGTATTAAATGCTTCGAGCTGAATAACGCCAACTCCTTTGACATTTTGACATCAGAAGTCCTGGGGTTGTACTTCTTGCGCCAGCTCAGGAGCTGTAACCTCTGTCTGCAGCTGAAGGAGGCGATAAAGATGCTCATCAAGCTCAGCTTTGACCTGATGTAGTTTATCCACGGTGTGGTTAGAAAAGAAACTATTCTTATGACAACATTACTGAACTGAAGAAAAAACAACAATGAAGGCCTTCGCAGACCTTAAAATATATATTTTTTTGCAGTATTGAATGCGAAAAGGAACACAGTGTAAAAGGAGCCAAATGAAGCATAAATGAAGCCGTGATTGAGGACGGAGATCGCACCTTCCCGCACATACAAAAAACAGTAAAGTTAAAGTTTGATGGAAAGCGACGTTGCCCTTCACTGCATTGCATTTATTTATGTCAAGATGAATCTTTCAACGACAGTTTTAATGATATTAATTAAGTAAAGTGGTGTTGATTGGCCAGTTTTGAAGATTTACAGTTATTATACAGTGAAACAATGAAAACATTCTCTTGGCCTTAATTGGAGTTTGACTGCGTGGACGGAGGCCCGCCCAAACAACGCTATTGATCAAAGTCCGTCTTCCAGCATTCGCCTCGTGGTCGGCTTGCTGATGGTGCAGGGTGAATTCCTAATGTGTACGTTTAAATCATCTCGCTGCGAGTGCATAATACAGGTGGAGCTTCTGTAGAAAGCACCACGGAATTATGGGATGTAATGTGCAGTTGGCCTGAATCCTTTCAGTCAGGAAAACTGACCTCGGATCTGCTTTACTCCCATTTCAGAAACCTCGGGCACATTACGTTCACCTTGGAAGCACCTGGCGAGGTCTTGACGGCAGTCTTGCCTTTTTCTTCTTCATTGTAATGCTGAATGAAAGGTTGAGAGTTCACTGACTTCACAGAGCCGTCCTCTGAAGGCATTTCATCTAAATCTATTGTCCAGCCAATCAGGAGGTGCTCGGGTCCGACGTGTTAGTCAAACCAAACTCACCGTCCTCGGGCTCTACTGCTCGCAGCACAAAAAGCTTTAAGATGAGTAAAGGTTTGGCTTTTTAAATCAGACCGGCTGAACCGGGGAAATGTTTCACTTCAGCAAAGCTCTCTTTTGCATGAAATTGAGTTTTTTTTCTTTCTTTTTTTTTTAAATACGCAGCTGCAGCTTCATAAATATCCATTGATTTATATAACTAACTTTTTAAAGAACACAGGCGAGTGAACACCTTTCATGAAATAAAGTCATCTTTTAATCGGAAACAGCGTTCAAGTTCTGGCTCCATCGGCGGGGCAGCTGTTGCCCGGATACGGACCCCATCACTCCGCTCTGTGCTGAAGGGAAGCTGTAGCTATTGGCTGCATTCCCCCCCCCCACACACACACACACACACACACACACACACACACACACACACACACACACACACACACACACACACACACACACACACACACACACACACACAGACTTTGCTACTCTCCAGTTCAGGTCTTATGCGGGTTAAGCTATTTACATGCATCTGTTGATACCCTCCCTGGTGCGACGGGTAGACCCATTAACACAGTATTTCTACACACCGATGCCATCGCAGCCACAGGGAGGATTCAGAGGGAGACGATTGAGAAAAAGAGACGCAGGCGACGTTGTAGAAGTTGTAGTCACAAAGAGCGGGATGTTGAAATGAAATGCGGGTCAGATGATCTCAAGCAACTGCCCCACTCGATCCGAACGTGTCCTTATGAATGGATAATAAACCAGATCTTATTTCTGACTATCTACAGTACCAACAGTGTTTTTTCAGTCGGTGACTTACGGCTAGCAGCCAGCTTCTCTCTCTCACATGGAGACCGACGGGCACGAGAGCTATGTGGCACCATGGCGCTACTTTTTTGTCCTATTTGTCCGTTGATTTAGTTTTCCTCAACTAGTGGCTGACTGGGCATCGGACCGCAGAACAACGCTGATAAAAATCCTTTACTATTAATACGTCTCAATGATGAACACCAGTTTTTAAATGGCTTAAAAGCAGTGGATTGTAAACATTTGAGTGAGGAATAGTTTGACTTTCAATCATTGTGGCACATTGACCAATTCACGGTGCAGCTACAAACCAGGTTCCAACCTGCTTTTGTTTAATCAAATACACAATACTTTTTTGTTTCTGTCGAGTTAATGAGTTGGCCCCTTTGAGACGTCTTACCGGCCTCTCTCCGAGCTGAGGTAGCAGACGAGGTGACAGGCCCAGAGCAGCGGCCCCGCGTAGGTATTGAGCGCCGTCAGGAAGACGGCAGGAGCCTCCACGTAGCTCTCCAGTCCCACGAAGCCGACGGAGATGTCCACGGTGGCGATGTTGTTGGAATTGCCCTGCAGGGGCACAAAATATCTTCCTTTAGCATTATTCGGTCTTGTTTTAGCATTACAGGAATGACGCAGGCTGCGCACGGACAAAAAAACAAAACAACAACATGCAGATCCGCTTCAGACCCCTTTGCTTCATCATCATCATCATTGCTCTGAGCTTCTGGCGCAGTTGTCGCTTGTGTTTTTCAGACGGCGACAGACACAGCGAGCGCAGCTGACCGTCGGCATGTGGTCTCTCGTTAGAGGCTACAGCACACGCGCTGCTTTTCCTTCCCCGATTAGTGAACTTTTCGACCGTTCGACGAGCAAAATATGCCTGCAGTGAACTACGAATATTAAACTTTTGTAACCTTGTTTTATTTTATTTTTTCATCTCTTCTTCAGTGCTGTAAATGAAGGATACATTTACAAACAGAAATATACCGGTGTTGAATGTAGTACTACTGTGGGGGGAGGACATTTTAAGGACTTACCTGTGATGAGAGAATCATAATAGCCTTTTTTCTTTTTAAATAAAAGAATTTCAAAATACAAGGTTGTCTGTCTTCAGCCAGTGTAGAATGAATGCTAATAAGTCAGCTGGTTATTATTAGATTACTTGAGGGTTTCTCTACAACTGTTCCCTGTAAAACGCTTTTCTCACAGAGGAATCCATGCTCACATTTGTGCCGCTCAGGTGCTTAATCAGATTTCTGGTCGGCACATTCGGGTTATTGAAACCTCCCCCTGTGAGCCTTGCTCGCGCCTCGCAGCCTCCACAGCAATCAATCCACCCGAGACGTTGATCAGCACCTCTGAGAAACCCAGCCGCATCTTTGAACCTACAAAATCAGCACATTTCTCGCTTTCCACCCGTTTCACAATTAGCGGCATGCAACATGCACGGCGACGGGTGCCGTGATCAACAGAGATCAAGGAGATCTTTGTTGATCCAGTTTGAATGAGCCGCTGGCGGCCGCACATCAAACTGCGGTTTAGTTGCCGCCTGTGCACACATCCCTGATCACACAGGGGGGGGAAACATCAACAGCTGTCTCCGCTCCAAGCAGACGCAGCGTGAACATCGGTGAGCAGGTTGGAGGCTGCATGGGTATTTTAGACATTGCACTCGAATGTACGGAGCGCCGCTCGTGATGATTCAGATGTTTATACGGACATTTCTGAATTCACACCAGCGGGGTGACCCGCCCCCGCTCATGTGGCCACACAGAGTGGCTCATTCGTGGAGAACGAAACTCTCCTTGCTAGCTACCGACCGCCTGGTTTTGGGACGGAGAGATATCCACAGGAAGAGCCCCCTCCCCCTCCCCCCAAAACCTCCACCGGGAGACACGCGATGCCGTTCAGCTGGTTTTAGTGACGCTAGCAATGTATGCGCCTGAGGTTACCTGAAAGATTTCCCATAATCCTCTTTTGCGTTCAGCTGCCAGACTTTAAAACAGCAGTTTTCTTCCCATATTTACAGTAAAGCCTGTAGGTGTTCTCACTGATTACATTCAAATCCAACACAGGCAGGCACAGTTAAATCAGACGTCTGCGCCTTACAGATCCATATTGACTACAGCTTTTTGGAGAACGGCGTTAGTCAAAAGATCTGTAAGTACACGCCTCGGCGCTTCAAAATTGTCTGGTGGTGTTTTAATCTCGAGCCCATCACGCCGTTAACGACCGCAGGGCGAAGACGCTTATTAAACTGTTAGCGATGTACGAGTTGTTTGTTGACAGAAGTAAACATTTGCTAATCACATATCCGTCCTGGGTGGAGGTTAAATCATGAGACCGGTATTTCATCCGCCTGTGAGGAACATTCAGAGCTCCTGACGCACACCTCCACAGGAAGATGCCAGTCCAGCTGGCCTTCGAGGCGGCGCCGGACGGAAGAAATAAAATACACACACAAACACTCTTTGTTGTTAGAACTGCTGCCATTACAGCATCTCACACTTGAGCATCGCTGATTTCCTACATGTCGCTACGCTCTTGTGTCCCGGCATTAAATTAGATCTCTTACTTATGTAAAAGATCTCTTACAATCAGGTGAGGAAGGTGCGGAAATGGTGTCAGCACAAACAAATTTGTGTAATGGTCGCGATTTGTCACAAAGGTCAAGGATTTATAATTGCTTAATGGCAAAAGTTGATTCCGGATTTGCTCCATATTTAGTAAGGTTATGAGTCACGTCATTTAAAATACACATCCTGCATAGCTTTATGGCCCCGATGCCACTGGCGTCATTACGGATGCTCACCTGAAAGTAAAAGAAGGCCTGACCAAACCAGTAGTGCATGATGGTGGTTTGGGCCGCGTCGTAGTGGAGCCTCTTCCAGATGAACTGAGCCATTAAGGTCTGGATCAACAGGCAGCAGCACAGGACCGGCAGGTTGTGAGCGCGAAACAGCAGCGAAACCAACAACACCAAGCCGCTGTAAATCTCCCATAAGCCCCGGCTCTTCAGCTCGGCGTCGGCTGTGACGATCTGCGACCGCAGCAGGTCTTTGGTGCCGGTGAAGAGGATGCCCAGGATGAAGACGTAGACAAAGCGCGCCTCCACGGTTCCCCTGGAGGAGAAAGATTACAGCAAGGGTCACTTTTTTTCTCTCTTCTAAAGCAAGAATTGATTTTCCTCCAGAAAACTCCTTGTCTAATATTCAAGTAATTGCAGTGAGGGGCTCTGAGCAGACCGGCTGTATCAGGTGTGAGGAGAATAACTGAATTCCGACTTTATACAATGATTGATTACAGTACAATTAACGGAATCAAAAGAACAATCTTAATAAATCAAATGCTGGAATACAAGCAGCTTTGAATAGAGGAAAGAAAGTCAGTGTCTGTGGAGGTGATAGTAATTTCCTTGTGGAAAGAGAAACTGTGAGAACAAAGGAATCAGCATCAGTAACACCAGATATGGGAAGTGGAGAGCAAAATCTCAAAGCAATAAGTCTCATTTGTTAACTATGATTTGTAGACACATTTTGGGCGACTTTTATCATTTTCTTTTACTACTGAAAATAATAATAATCTTCAGTGTAAAATGCTGCACAGCTGCATCATCAGACCCTTTGTTATAATACATCTTCAAAGCGCACTACTCCCATTCATTTCCTAACCCGGTCTCTTGTTAAACAGGTTTCCTGATATTTCTGCAACTCATAACCCTTCTTTCATTCAGTATGCGGCGTGTCAATGTAACATTAATAATTAAAGGTGGGAGACTGGAAGACAGAATGAGTCGTCGGAGGAAAACAGACTTTCACACCCATCACTTTGTCGGTTGTATTTTCGGCATCCATATAACTTGAGGACCCTGTTATTCACCCTTTTTTTCAGCTGATAAAGATATCAGAACTTATTTTTGAAAAAGAGTCTCTCAAGTAAAAAAATCTTTTATTATATTCTCTTAGTCTTTCTTTGAATTAGTTCCTGCGAGTATAATGTGGCCTAGTGATGAGGCATCGGCCTCCCTCTGGACGTCATACACCGTTTTCCTTGGCAGAGCCTAGTTTTGCATGTATTAACACAGTCGCACTAACCGAAAACATAGAGCTTGTTTTTCCTCTCTTCCTTTAATGCATCGGGGCTGTACAGCAGGTCCCAGTGGGCCGCATGTCGTGGGGGTGACAGAACATGTTTCACGGCATTCCGGGTATTTCTGGGACTAATAGGTCTGCTTTCATAGGGAGGACATGCACACTTATTGGGTGTATTTCACTTGATGAATTGTGTATATTCCTTTTCATTGCCATTTGGTTGCTAGGGCAACAGCTTTGGTCCAAAATGACTTCCTGTCAGTGACTGCATTCACAAACATTGCAACAGGAAGTAGAAAACGACCCAATTTGACATCTTAGAGTGTGCATGGCAGTCACGTTTCAGTGTGCAAAGGAAGTATAGTAAGTAGTTATCACATTTTTAAATACTACTTCTTCATAATGACGAGTCGATAGAAAACAAAAAGGTAGCATCAAATCAAACCAAAGCATTTGAACCTCCGGTCGCACTCGAACGGATTTACAAGTTGATCAATATGTAATAACTACAGATAACAATATCTAAATAGCTAATTATGTTTCATGTTGCCGTTTACACACTCGCGTGTGTGAGACTGCATTTGGAGAAGAGAAATGAACAACTCAAAATATGCAGTTGAACATAAACTGAAATAAACTGGAAACTGAGTATTAGTTGAACTGATAGCTAATAAAAACTGTATACACATGCATTATCAACCAGCCAGCCATCAGCTAACATGCAATCCAATTCCATTACGCTGGAATTCTGAGGACAAGGCGTTACGTTTTTATATGTTAATTATTCATTTGGTCTCTATATGCACGGTACCGTCACTACGCCACATCTTAGGTTCAGACTGAAGACAGTTCAGTTATTGTGAAAGTCACAAACGTGTAATGACAACACTACTTCGAAGGGAATGTCCGTTCTTATAGTTCAGATCCATGTTAAAAGTACGCCGCTTTAAGAGGTCCAAACGCGCAACAGGGGTGACGACGCGCTCACGCTCTGAATGATTATGAGTAAATAAAGCAATACAACTTACAAACTAGTTGATTTTATCAATGCGAGTAAAGAACAACCCAAGTTAGACACCGTACTGGGAAGCATTCATACCGACTGATGACTGTACCTGGTCCCTTAGCTCTAGATGGTTAGTACCAAAAAACAAAATTGCTTTTCAATTAACATAAGTTCAGAAAAGCAGGAGGTTCAACCCTGAATGGCTCGGCAGATGTAAGCTGTGTAAGCTCGGAATTTCTATAATGGATCCTCTCCTTCTAAAAGGCTCACTCCACAAAAATCACTTTCAATAATTGCCAAAAAGTCCCAAATTGAAGCTTTAAAGGAAAAGTGTTTTTGTCTATGAAGCCAATTTCCCTTTTAGCCATTCAGCTTAAGCTCTTGTTGTGCTCCCACCTTGGGAAGAAACAAGTTTTGGCCTCCAGTTCTGCTACAGGACAAAAAAACACAAGAAGTTGTGCGATATCTCTCTACTGGTGAAACTCAGCCCTGAGATCTGATTCAAGCCACAGAGAACCCGGGGTCCCTGTGCTCTGCGCTGGGAGACGACACAAGGTTTCTTTTCTCTTTCCGGTTTGGCTCCGTTGAACGATAGGATGAAGGAGTCAGGCTCTCCACCTTTGGGCCTCCTACACCCAAACAGGAGCGCCTCTCGTCCGTGAGAGGATAAGAATACGGGCTTCTTCCCCCCCTCCGTCCCCAAGAAACAACAGCTTTCCAACATACCTAAGCAACAGAAAAGTCCACAACATCGTCCTCGCGTTGGGCCTTTGAATGGACGAGTCCATTTTACTGTCGATCCATTCGCGCAACAACGGACGGAGCGGACAGCACCCCATAGAATACCCGACATTCTTACATTAAATACATGCATTCAAGTAGCTTCTGGTGATATTTTCAAATGCTGACTGCTCAAAATAAATGTACGCATTTTAAAAAATGTGCAGACTTCTGCATGACTTCACGAACACGCATCTTCTCCTCACAAGGCTCACGCACAGCAGAGGGACACTTGAAGAAGTCGGAAGTGTTACAGGATAATAGCGGACCCTGAGGAGTTGAGCGAGTATTGGACATGTATTGTTAATCGGTGTGTTTTATGGAAACCTGTTCCCACGGAGCGAAGGGGCAGAGTAATGTGCTCCATGCGGCACTACTCATTCATTATTCACCCCTCCCCTCACAAAGGGCCAGCGAATGCGTTTATCGTTACTTTGTGCAAAGGAAAAGGGGATAATCCTGGCGAGTCGAGCAAAATAGTCACGTCTGTCACGGTTGTACTTAACAAAGAGTGTTGTGCCACACACTTAAAGCGCATTTTTCTCTTACAACTACAGGAAATCACGTGTGATGTATATGCATAACGTTAAAATCCCCCCCCCTCCGAAGCCTGCATCATTCACTCAAACACCACAGGGCTAATGAACATTAATCGGAGGCAATAAGCAGAGAGGAAACGCTGAAAGGAATCTTGTTTGCTTTGACATTTTCGATGCAGAAAAGCACAAGCCCTCCTTGTTTGAGCCGCAAAGGCGATCGGAGCTTCATGCCGTTTCCCCTAATAGCAGCCCCCCCCTCGCCAGCCCCCGCAAAGTGGCTGCAGTCACTTCAAGTGTCTCCTGATTACAGTATATCACACAGCTCTGCACCAATCAGATTGCTCAACTTTTTCAGCCTTTACTTAATCATGTAGCTCAGGGACGGATTACGCAATCCGTTGCCATCAAACTCTAACAAACAGCAGAGACTGCAACAACACGGAACAAGACCCCCATGTCCCCGTCCTCTAATCCTGTCCCCTTGAAGGACGGATTAATAATAAATGCATGGCTTTCCAATTGGGAGATGTAAGTGAGCTAATAGAAGCAGTTAGCGGAGCAGCAGGGACGAAGGTTGATGCAGAGTTAATAACGCAGCGTTCCTATTTGTGTGTGTGTGGTGCGAGGGCTTGGAGGCGATATGCAAAAGTTCAAAAAGGGAGATTTTGTTCTAGACTAAAGAGGATTTCAGTGTGAAGTCATCAGTATTGAACAACAATCCCAGTGGCCCTCCCGCATACATTGTCATTCTTGTATTTAGGAGTTAAAGTCCTCCAGCATGCTGTTGTTCAGACCACCGGACAAACCCTGAAGTCACTGCAGACCGCGTCTCGTTCCAGAAGCATCACAAAGAAAAGGTCGTACTTGTTTATTTATCACAAGGAACAATCCTAAGAAGGCTTCTCTCTTTTTGTGGATTTGAGAACTAAGGCCCTGAAACGTGAAAGTCTTTCTAGAGATTAATGAAACTAGGCAGGTCAATAATGAAGCAATAAGGTACGAGAGGCTGTACAGTGTTAGTAAACAGCATTGGGTCTCATTCATTCACATCGCCCATGACTGCACATATTGATGGGCCACATTTTCATGGTTATCTTTCTAGGCAGCTCACTCACTCCGACGCATATTTCATATTGTATGTATTTGACAAATTTGCCGTTTACTGGATGAAATGGTAAGTTTTTTTTTTTTTTAGGTTTCCTTTATTTTTCCCTGTCATTACCATCCATGAATATTTTCCATCTCGAGTTTTCCCACAATTTTGCAACCGTAGGAATGATTGATGTCCCTAGAGACTCTGCGAACAGATCTTCTCACTCAGATTCTTAGAAAACCTGATCCGCTGAACCAATCGGATCCTGTTTGCTGGGTTTTGTGATGTAGACAGAAAAGTGTAGCTTGACAGACTGTGGTAAAGAGGAGCCGCCTGGATTTCATGTTACCTTGGAAACAAGCCCCGGTGTTCAAGCAAGTGAGTAAGAAAAGGTGAGACCGTGTCCAATCCCGTCAACATGCTTGGTGCATCCCCTCCATCAATCCCCTGCATGGGGCGAACACCGACAGTAAATCAGCCCAAACAAGTGAGACGCTGCCACAGGAAAGAGTTGAAGCGGCTGACTACAAACTCACTTTGTCTGAGACTCGGTCTTACTGGGGGATAAATAAGGCCACGCCGAAGTCACAACAATTGAAATGCTACTCGTACA